ATTTTGAAAACCTATTTGAAGAAATAATGACAGAAAACTTCCCCCACCTGGTGAAAGAAATGGACTTACAGGTCCAAGAAGTGCGGAGAACCCCAAACAAAAGGAATCCAAAGAGGACCACACCAAGACACATCATAATTAAAATGCCAAGAGCAAAAGATAAAGAGAGAATCTTAAAAACAGCAAGAGAAAGAAACTCAGTTACCTACAAGGGAATACCCATACGACTGTCAGCTGATTTCTCAACAGAAACTTTGCAGGCCAGAAGGGAGTGGCAAGAAATATTCAAAGTGATGAACACCAAGAACCTACAACCAAGATTACTTTATCCAGCAAAGCTATCATTCAGAATTGAAGGTCAGATAAAGAGTTTCACAGATAAGGAAAAGCTAAAGGAGTTCATCACCACCAAACCAGTATTATATGAAATGCTGAAAGGTATCCTTTAAGAAGAGGAAGAGGAAGAAAAAGGTAAAGATACAAATTATGAACAACAAATATGCATCTATCAACAAGTGAATCTAAGAATCAAGTGAATAAATAATCTGATGAACAGAATGAACTGGTGATTATAATAGAATCAGGGACATAGAAAGGGAATGGACTGACTATTCTTGGGGGGGAAAGGGTGAGGGAGATATGGGAAGAGACTGGACAAAAATCGTGCACCTATGGATGAGGATAGTGGGTGGGGAGTGAGGGCGGAGGGTGGGGCGGGAACTGGGAGGAGGGGAGTTATGGGGGGGAAAAAGAGGAACAAATGTAATAATCTGAACAATAAAGATTTAATTAAAAAAAATAAATAAATAAAATAAAATAAAACAATAATCAATAGCTTATGAATTAAATCCAAGTCCTCTTCAGGCCAATTGTTTTCCATTGTAATCACGTACTGAGGAAGATCTCACTCACTTCCTACTACATCTGCTCACCCAACACCTGTGGTATCAGGGTTTTATTGAGGTTGATCAGACAAATTCTACCAATGATTCAAATGTGACTCCCAGTTGCAGTACAATTGTGAATGTCAGCGTTCTCATTACAAACCAGGAATTGTGACGAGTGTCCACTGTCCCTTTCCAATAGAAATGACCCTGCCCCCTTTACCCACTATTACTTGTGCCCTTGAACTTGGTCCTAGGCCAAGTTCAAGATTCCCGATGCTCTGTTGGCATAACCAGACACTGTCCCTCAGCCCACAGGATAAACTGAAATGGGTTCCCAGCGAGAAGGGTCTTTAACGTGGCTCCTGGGCCACTCTCTGCTCTCTAATTTCCACCAAGGGAAATCCTGAATCTGAAGCTACTATGAGCTCCCCTTGCATCTCGGGGGATTGCTAGAAGATTCTACACTTGCACATCAGTATTGCCGTGGAGCGGTGGGTGCACAGACGTGAAGCCCCGGGCTCGGGTTTGAGTCTAGACTCCTCTGCCCAAGGGCTGAGGAACTCTGAGCAGGGCCCTAATTCCGCCGGACCTTCATTGCTCATCTGGGAGATGGAAATGGTGGTAACAGCAGCCTGCGCCTTACAGGGCTGCGAGGACTGGATTAGCCACAGGGATCTGCTGGTTACCAGCAGCCTGTCGGCATCACTGCCATGGATCGAGGTGAACTGTTAAGTCGCTGCACGAATTGGTCATCCTGCGTCTGCCTTTGCCTGTAGCAGTTATGGGGTTAAGATCTATTACTCACAGTCAATGCCCAATGGGAGAAACTTTATTTCAGGGTTTAATCTTCTGAAAAACAATTTTTTTTCTCCTGAGATGCCCGTGTATCCCATGCTTTCTAACGTGGTATTACTCGTCAGTTTTCCTTCTCTGCCTTAGCTACCCAGAAGCTCAGAGCATGCTAACCTAACGTGTGGACTCTGGCTGGTTTCTTTTCCCTTTTTTACTCATTGCTATTCCTTTTCTTTCCTCCATGTTATATTCATGTTTTGTGTGTATTTGAGAAGCTATCTGAAATTCCTTTTGGGTAAGTAAATGGACACAAAGAAAATCACCAACAAAATCCATTTCCCAAGCGCAGCCTGTGCATTCACGAACAGCGCGTTTGCTCAGCAAGCTGCAAGGCTGGGGCAAGTTATCTCACCTCTGCAGCCTCTCTCCCCGTCGAACAATGAGCGCCCACAATAGAATCTCCTTTAAAGGGCTGTTGTAAGGAAGGAAAGAATTAACTCATACAAAGCATTCAGGGCGGTGCAGCGTACAATAAGGACTCATGCTAGTTCTTGGGGCTGAAATCATTAGAATTATTCCAGGTATCAGACTGGTGGCTTTTCACACACACACAAACGGGCACGCACCCTAATTGCTCTTCTCCAAATGTTTTATACCAAATCTGGAAGCCAACCTTTAAATTCTGCCCAGTACATTAATGCGGTGTGTGTGGGGGGGTGGGGGGGGGGTAATCTTGGATAAAGAATTGTGTTGGGGTATTGCTGTTTTCCTGCCTCTAAAAATGGAGCCATACGATGCCATTTTATGTCAAATGATACACATGTTAAAAGTGATGCAGCAAAATATCAGTAACCCCTCACCACAGGCACTGTTTGTCCGGCTTGCACTGGTGCTGCAATGACAGAGCGTAATAAACACTTGTTACTGTGAATGACATCACACTCCAAAGGGCCCTTGTTGAACATCACGCATGGGCTGTACATAGCGCTGCGCCCATGACCGGCGCCTGCCTTTGCCTCCCCCATCACACCTTCTTCCCTCCAGAGCTGATGACAGTTCTTTCTTCTGAAGCTTTGAGCCAGGCTAGTTCTTTAGCTGAACCAGAATCACCTGGTGGGCTTGTTAAAACTCCAGTCTCTACTATGCGAAGGGAAATAAGCCCGTCAGAGAAAGACAAACAGTACCATGATTTCTTATATGTGGAATCAAATGAACAAAATATATAACAAACAAAATAGAAGCAGGCTCATAGATACAGAGAAGAGACTGAGCTGTTATTTTATTGAGTTTGGGGGGCTGGGTGAGAAGACAAAGCAAAAAAAAGAAAAAACACTCATAGACACAAACAACAGTATGGTGATTGCAGAGGGAAAGGAGGTGGGGGAGAAGAGAGTAAAGGGGGGGGTGAGTGGTTTCCATCACTTGACCTTGGGCGGTGAATGCATGATGCAATATACAAATGATGTACCATAGATTAGTACACCTGCAACTTATATAACTTTATTAACCAATGTCACCCCAGTAAACTCAATAAAAATGAAAAACAAAACCCACCAGTTTCTATGAAATCGTTGTTGAAGGCCATGCCCATCACATGGTCAACATCACGCCCAATTGGGGAAACTTTTTCAGGGTTTAGTCCTGGGGAAGCTGCATGTCTAGTATCTGCAGGTTCTGCTCCCCCACGGGTCTCCCTGTCTCCTCTGCTGGCTGCCAAACTGACATTTTACGTGAGTCACCAGATTTTACTGTAACAAGAAATTAAAAAAATATTTAACTATGAGAACCAAAGAACACGTGTTTTGCATGGCTGTGTACCGCCTCTGCTCCTCCCTTCACCGCGTCTCGCCCGTCAAGACCTGCATTCACCTTTTAAATCCCAGCTCCTTTCCTTTCTCTGCCAATGGACTTCCCGCACCAGGGACAGCAGTGCTATCTGTATCCCTACCTCCACCTCTTTGCAGTAAAACCCACCTACCAACTGCCAATTCACCTTAAAACACTGCTCCAATCACGCGTGTCGCCTTTCTAGTCAAAGCCCTCCTGAGACTCCCTTGGCCTCCAGCTGTCTAAACTCTATCCCAGATGGCCGCCCTCCCCCGCCCCCGCCCCCGCCCCCCCTCACCTGGATTCTGGCTGAACGTGGCCCAGGGCAAACACCAGCTGGGTTCTGGAGGGAGAAGGGGTCAGAGGGTCCAATCTCTGGTTCTCTTGCTGCAGGGATGTCACAGGCTGTGTCCCCCTGGCTGAAGGCAGCCCTTCTCTGGGTGAAGGGTGTGGCTGCTCCCTCCCTGGGCCTCTGAGGGCACAGAACGCTCCACCTTTGTAACCTTGGCCAAAGTGTTCTGAAGTTATTCTAACCTAAGTGATGCACTTCCTGCTACAACCTGGCTGATACATCTCCCCAGCCTCACGCCTCCAAGTGAACACTCACCAAAGGCATGCAAGAAAAAATATCCTTCCACCAGGCATTTTCCAGAATTTGAGTATCACTATTTGGAAACATTTTGCAGCAATTTAAAAGTTGCCTTTATGTCATGAAGAATTTTAGAATTCTATCTTTAAGCCTAAACTGTTGCTTAACATTAAACCAAAAAATATAGTATGTAATGCTTAGCCTTGAAGGTTAAAAATGACATTTCCTCTTAAAATTATGTATATTTAATCCTAGAAATATCCTCATTTTTGTATTATGATCCTTCCATAGGTATTTTGATATACCAGTGCCATCTGCTGGGAAGTTAATATACCATTAGGTTTCTAAATCCCAAAATATATATCTTTTGGGGGGCTGGAGGGGATAAATGTACTCTTTAAGAAAAAAGCCTTATTTTAAATACACAGCTGCTTAACTTCTACATCATCACCGATATAAACCCCAATTAATTACAAAGCACTAAAATAAAGTCTGAAACATAATTTTTAAAACACACTAAACATTTCTATTGATACATCTCTTGGTTTCTAGAATATTCTTATGTGGTTCTGCTCTACTTTTGTAGGAAGCTCAACAAGTCTCAGCATGAGCTGGCTCTTTTCCAAAGATACATGATACTTGTATGTAAGAGAAAAGTGAAATATATATGTTTAGATATAATATATATTGCATGTATTTAAATAAAATATATACATATTTTTCAGTACACGACAAAGTTTCAGGTGTGAAGTGAGTAGACAGGTATAAGATTAGATCTTTCTGGAGTTCTTTCGCCAACTCTAAAAAGCAACTGTAACAGACACGTATAAACAACACGACACAACTGTTAAATTTTCTGATAAAAATTGCAACAGATGTTGTAAATGATAATATAGAAACATAAGATTGCTTAACTGATTTTAATAACATGACACAAAACCCCTACACTTGATAGAATCATTATGCAAAATACATAGATGAATACTGTCTTCTTTTAAAAATATAAAATAAATAAGCAAGACATGTGAAAATAGGCAAGTTTCCATTAAATAAATGAAATCTTTTTTAAAAAAGAAAGTTTTGCTTTCCATATCATTTGAAAAAGGAAAATTATCATTTAAACAATATTCAAGTTTATTAAACAAATTTTAAAGGTAATATAAAATGTTTAGCTTTCATCAGCTTCAAGGTTTATATTGCTCCCAAATTTTGCATATAACTGAACTTTCAAATCTGCTAACACCCGCTGAATGGATTCCACTCTGGATTCTAAGGCGTCAATTTCTTCTTGCAAATTTTTCTGGGGAAAAAAAAAATTGTTTAAGTTAATTCTATTCAATTGGATGATTTCTAACACCTGTGGCTGAAAAAAATATTTGGGAACACTTTTAGGTCAGAACTTTCTAAACTTGAACAGGCAGCTACATACATAATACTGATCATTAGATCTCAACCAAAAGTCTGAAAATGGGCATTTTTAATTCAGGGCCTATATTGCTTATAAGATAAATCAAACTTGTTTTCTCAGTTTTGGCTGATTTCAAAAACATAAGAGATAAAAGGAAATTAATTTCTAAATTACCATATCTGAATAAACAAAGAACCCTCCATAAACACGTCGGCCACTTCTGCTAAACACTGCGTCACAGGCATGGCTTCTGCCGGAGCCTCTCCAACCGCCCATAGGTAACTATGCAACTAGAGGAAATGACAAAAATTCATGCTACCACGAACAACTAAGATAACAATTCACAGTCAAAACCTGGCAGAAATTTTTTGAGCCTTTCCATCTAGATTACGTACTCCACGCAGGCAGGGACCAGGGTGTTCCGTTGTCCGTGCACCTAGTAAGTGATAGAAACCGATAGAGCAGCGGTTCTCAACCCGTGGGTCGCAACCCCTTTGGGGGTCGTACGACCCTTTCACAGAGGTCGCCTAAGACCACCAGAAAACACATATATAATTACATATTGTTTTTGTGATTAATCACTATGCTTTAATTATGTTCAATTTGTAACAATGAAATTGGGGATCACCACAACATGAGGAACTGTGTTAAAGGGGCGCAGCATTAGGAAGGTTGAGAGCCACTGCGATAGAGTATACACTCCATAAATACTTCTGAAATGAATGAATGAATTGCAAAATGAAGGTTCAATATATTTGTGTGGCAGGGGTAGGGATGGGGCTGGGAAGGATGGAGGAATGTTCACAATAGTGACAAAAACTTCTCGTGACATACTTGCAGGAGTATTTTAGGATGGCTAAAAAGAAAACCCGAATTACACAATTTTACTATGAAAGAAAAGACTTCAGCATAGAAGGAGACTCAATATTTCTACACGGAAAGACTCAGGAGTGTTAGTTCTACCTGAGGTTTATTAAATGTGCGTCTAAGTCATGAAAAGTTGTGCTTTTATGACATTTAAAGCAGGAAGACAAACATTTTAAATAATATTCAAGCTAATTAGGCAACTTTCAAGAGAATTAGAAAATATTTAACTGCCATCAGCTTCTCATACACAACGCGACTGCCCTCTCAGGCATAGCTGGAGGACCCGTGAACTGGAAACTAATTTGCTAAGTCTCAAACACGTCAATGAGCTTACACTCTGACCCAGTAATAACACTTCACTGATTATTTTCTTAAAGAATTTCTTAAATGTGAGCAAAGATTAAAGTATAAAAATGCTCACTAGAGCATCACTTCAGGAAAACACTGGAAACATTCGGAGGACAGTGAGCTGAGCCAATGTCCACCAACATGGCATTAAGTCATCAAACACGGTGTTTTCACGTACGTGTGCCTGGCCCAGAGCAGGCTCCCCGGGAGCATCTGCTGGTAAATAAACGTTAACGGGAGGAGAAAACACTACCGGGATGTTAACTGGCCAAAAGGTGAAGCGAAAGAAAGAGGAGAGGACATAGGAAAAGGCATGGAGATGCTCACCATGGACGACCACCTCTGGGTAGTGGGATTGCGGGTGGTTTTTCTGTTGCTTTGTAATATCCTGTACTTTGTAAACACTTTTAACTCAGAGCTCAGGCCCAGGAATCGCAAGCTCATTCCCCGTGTCACCTTGAATAAGCGCCGAAAGCTCTCTAAACCTCTATTCTTCAACTCTAACTGGAACTAATGGTACCTGTCTCACAGAATACTTGTTAGGATGAAATAAACTCACACTTGAAACGCATTCGGAGCGCATGTGGGGAACTGTGAGACCCAGGAAGTGTTACCCAGCATCCATTACTCTCCCTACTCCTCCATGTTCTTTGTAAGAATACAAATCCCAACGTAAGAGTCAGAGTTCATCACCCAGGGAAAGACTTCAATATACCTTTGCTTCTTCTAACATGTCTTGTGTTTCTTCTTGAGAATGGCTAATGAAAACATCACCAATCTGATAAGGTATCATTAAGCAGTCTTCATCTGCAAGCATGATGTCCTCGCAAGCATCTTCTAAATTCTGGAGTTGTTTCTGCAAATGCAAAAGGGAGCAGCCATGAACAATGTGTTCAAAATCCCCCGATAGAGCTCGCAGCCCATTTTAATTTGGGGACACCAACTCTCGGAGCGCTCACTAACATGCTGATCTCTAGATACTTCCAGATTGCTACCAGCGTGCTGCGGTGGACAGCGGGAATCTGTGGCCACTCACAATATCTCCTACCTTAACAGTTTCCCATTTTGTAAGCTCTGCCTTCCTGGGGGAGAAGTAAAGCAAAGGCAAACACGAATCTACACTTCTCAGCCGTGCCTGGTGATAGGATGGAAGAACTTGAATTCCACCAATCTAATGCACTTGAACTGGACTTCAACACAGGGAGTTGCACAAGCAGCGGCTGGGCACAAGGCCTCCAATTTACAGGGGCAGCTGGGTGGCAGCGCAGTGCCCTAGGTCTGAGGGGCAGGCAGCTGGCGTGGAGACAGCAGCAGTACCATCCCAGCCAAGTGCTCTGAGACATGGTTCTGGGACCTGCTCCTGGAACCTCGGCCTAGAGCCCCACCTCTCCACCATCTGTAAGTTTTCTCACACCCTTAAACAAGGTTTTTCTTCTTCTGCGACAGAGTCCAGACAGATATAAGCACAAGTTATCGAATTCAGTTTTTAAGAGCTATTGCATAAAGAACTTTTATTTTTCTGAAATAAGATACATATCTCCAGTACCTTTTTCACATCTATTTCTTCCTTCAGCTCTGTGATTCTACTCGTATTCCGTGCAAATTTGTTTATCTTTTGTTGATCTTCAAAAGTAACATTGACGTCTTCTGCAGCCTGAAAAGAGTTAAATGCCAGACTCTCCTTAGTTTGGCCTCACTTGGTTACAGAGGAGAAGACAAAGGCATACCTGGTTTCAGTAAGGGCCCCATAGCCTGGCTCAGTGGCCACACCCTACCCTCACCTGGCCTCTCGTGACCAAAGGCATAAGGTCCGGTCCGTACACTCTGATTCCTCCAGAGGGCGAAGCACCCTCTTGTCTCAACCAACATGGAGCTCAGCGGTCAGAACAGGACGCAGACCCTGAAAGTCGGCCCTCCCATCGCAGGCGCTCATCATCCCGTAAACAGCTTCACACGCACCAGGCCCATCATCAGACCCAGAGGACATCTTGAAAAAAGTCCTTTACATCCCCATACATACAGCTTTGAATATTCAACCTTGCACATATTTTCATGAACATGGACGCTGGTAAACACTGGCCTGCAGCACAGAAACCAAAGGCAAGTCCTTATGCAGACAGTCCTAGCGTTCAAGTCGTTTTACTTAACAATAACTCCAATTCCCTAAGCGAATAGGGCACAGAGAACCCCGAGTTCCTGCTCTCCCGCAGAGTCCAAGTACTGAGCCCCGAGAACCCTTGTCCTTACAGGTGCACAGTCATCACACAAGACCAGGCTTCCCACACACACAACTGGGGCTCAAGGCAGGGCTTCTGAATCTGAACCTGAATCGTGCTCATCAGTCACATGCACACGGTCTCTGAAAAGTTGTAGAGAACTGGGCCCTGCTTCCCACCTGTCCAGACAGGCGCTTCCTGTTGGAGCCCCCACAGCCCTGCACACACCTGGCGCTGGAGTGCACTTCCCTCGTGGTGGCTTTCACTGGGGTCCGGGCTAAAGGGGGCGGGGAGGCACATGGACCCGGGTGAGCCGCATGCCACCCAGCGAGTGCCGTGTGCAAAGGGAGAAGCCGCCCCTTCCCTAACAGCCCTGCCTTCCCTTTTCATCTCACTGATCTAGAACATTCCTACTGCCTGACGCTTCATTTCTGCAGGGAGGGCTTAATTCTTAGTTGGGGGCCCGTGGGCGCTGAGGGGTCCATTCACCCCCTGAAACTATGCAAAATGGCATGAGTGGTATGTGTATTGATCGGGAGGGGTCTTCATAGCTCTCATCAAGATTCTTAAAGGGGACCCCCCCCCCCCCCAGGTAGGAACTCCTGCTCTAACAAAAGCCAGATGCAGTTACTACCGCTCACGAAGCCGTAGGATCCATGGAGGAAGGAGCTGTAGTATTTATTTGAGGGAGCAGAGTGGTGGAAACAGAGTGGATTCACACCCACGCGAGCAGGAACCATGGCAATTCCCCAGTTCTCTGGAGCCAGCTGGGGTGTGCCATCCTTTAGTGAAGCAGGGAAGCCATGCCCACCTCAGAGGTGGCAGCATGGGCACCAGCAGAGGGCCTGCAGGTGGAGTCACCTCCCGCCGAGGGCCAGCTAGTGCTCTACTTCCTGACTGTTCACCAACAGCCATCACACAGGAAGGACACCCGGAAGGTGCGAGGTGAAAGCCCAAATCCCTGCACCCCGAACGGCCCTTTCCGTGACTCAGTCTCCCATGGGCTCTGGGAGGAAACAGAAGCAGTGGTCACCTCACACTGGGCGTGGGTGTGACCAGCAGGTCTCTCCGAGGAAATGCCGGCCAATGTCAGTCTGCTTCTATTTCTGTCTTTTAAAGGCACCTGCTAAGTCTCTGAGACACACCTATGCCCTGTATGTTCACGCACCTTCCGTGCATACACTCCCTTAACAGTTACTCAGTGTCTCCCTGTGCCAGGCAGTGAGAGGGGAGCCGCCGAGTGCCCTGGTGAACCCCGAGCTCCCGGCTGGTGGAGGAGACGGGCAGAACACAGGTTTCTGCTGGAAGGTGACACAGGTGATGGGACAGGGTGGGTGTTGGGGGACGAAGGGAGTGACGGGAGGTCGAAGGCTCCTGAGGAGGGAGCTCCCTGCGGAGGGAGGTGCACAGGTGCCCGTGGAGCCCCTGCATGGCCACCAGCCGGTCTTAGGACGCAGAGGGGGGAGGGGGGGACGGCACCTTCTCCGGAACATTCTCCCGGATCGCCCGGCCCGGCAGGCAGGTGCTACAACCCGGAAGGCCTCCGACCGAAACCCACGCAAGGGGCTCCCGTGACACCCACCTCCTCGGCCCAGGGGTGCCTCCGGGGCAGAGGGGAGTGTGCAGCCGGCCTCCCGGGCAGTTCCCAGCAGTGGGGACACTAGGAGGGCGGCCGCACCACCAGCGGGCGCACCAAGAAGAAAAGCCCAGGCTCTCCGCCCATGCGCGGCCTTTCCCACTTCCTTCTGTTCCGGGAGGAACTCCCTCCCTGGGGTGCCTGCCCCTTCCCTCCCGCGTTCCTAATCAGCGGCCCACACCTGACCACACACAGCGCGCTCTGGACACTCCTGTGTGACCCTCGGTGCCTGGCCTGCCTCGGGGCTGGGGTCTGCACGGCCAGGAGGTCCCCCCATCCCACGCAGCAGCCTGCGCCATGCGACACGCTCCAGAAGCTCCCGAAGCTCGCTGAATGCGAGAAGGAAGAAATGCTGGTGATGAAAAACGGGGCAAAATCCTGGATCCAAATCCTTCTCCTCCCGGTTCCCCAACATGGACTCCTCTCCTCACTTCAGCTCCCACACCTGCAGGAGGGTGAACCCCAACCAGCCCCCCACCCCCACGGCGTCAAGGCCACACCTGACCCCGGCCCGTCAAACACAAACCCGAGGCGAAGAGGGTGCACCCAGCGCTGGCAGGACCGGCCTGGGCCCCCTCGGCGCGCGGTAAGAGGGTGATGGAGGGAGACCTCGGCCTGGGTGCCCGGGGCCCCCACGTGGGCAGCGCACCCTCCAGCTTGGCCTCCGAGGGCGCCGGCCACCCCCTCGGCACAGGCGGGGAGCGGGGGAGCCAGGGGGAGCGGGGCCTCACCGCCGGGACGGGGAGCCTCCCCCGGGCAGGGCCTGGCCTCGGCACCCGGGGCTCCACTCCCGGCTCTGCCCCGCTCGGTGCCTCCCCGGGAAATCGGGGTGCACAGGCCCTGACCCGCTCGGTGCCTCCCCGGGAAATCGGGGTGCACAGGCCCTGCCCCGCTCGGTGCCTCCCCGGGAAATCGGGGTGCACAGGCCCTGCCCCGCTCGGTGCCTCCCCGGGAAATCGGGGTGCACAGGCTCTGCCCCGCTCGGTGCCTCCCCGGGAAATCGGGGTGCACAGGCTCTGCCCCGCTCGGTGCCTCCCCGGGAAATCGGGGTGCACAGGCTCTGCCCGCAGGATGAGGGGGCGTCACGTGTGCGGGCTCCGGGCCGCCCGGCGCGCGGGGAAGCCTCCCCCACCCGCGGCTGCCATTAGCGCCTCGCCCCCCTCCCCCCGCCCGCATTTTATTTTCCTTCCACCTCTAAGCACCTGGGAGACCTACTGGAGGGCAGACCCTAGCGAGGCGTTGGGCGGGTTTGGGAAAATGAAAAATAAGGGAACAAGTCAAAGCCGCGCTGGAACCAGCCGAGCCCCGAGCTGAGTCACCGCCAGGCCCCCCGGGGCTCGGGCTCCGCTCGCACCTGTACGCGGGACCTGCCTCGCCGAGGTGCGGGGAGGTGCGGGGAGGTCGCAGCGTGGCCGCCGGGGCCTCGGGGCGGCGGGGCCCGGGCTCGGGGCCGGACCCCAGGACGCGGGGTCCGCTCTGCTCCCCGCAGCGGCGCCCCCGGGGCAGGTGCCTCCCGACCAGGGCCGCGGCCTCCTCACCTGCCCAGGGCGGTGCAGGCGCTGCCGACCCGCGTGCCCGGTGCGGGTCAGACGTGACAACGCGGCAGAGCGCCCGGCGTGGTGGCCGGCGGACCCCCGGCTCCCCACGCCCCGTGACGCGCCAGGGCCGCGGGACCCCCGTGCTCGGGGCGCCGGGTGCGGGCCGGCCTCGCCGCGGGGCCGCCCTCAGGTTCGGGCGCTCGGCCCCGGGCCCCACGCCGGCCTCGGGGATGAGCACCGCAGAGCCGCCCGCCCGCCCGCCCGGCCCCTCGGCGGCCCAGCGCCCGCCGCCCGAGCACCGCCCGCGAGCGCCCACTCACCGCCTTCTTCATGGTGGCCGCCATCTTGGGACTGGACCACGGCGCGCGGAGGGGAGGGCTGAGCCCGCGCGGTCCTCCCGGCCCCCGCTCACTCCCTGTGGGCCCACAACTCCCGCAAAACACACCACCGGCTCCACATTCCCTCCTCTTGGATCTGCGACCGAGGAGGGCGAACGCCTGGAACCCAGGGAGGAGATGGGCTCTGGAAGGACTTGGTACGTGCCAGTTAAAGGGACGGGCACCGCCCTGTGCGCCGACAGAAACGGGGGGGTGTGGCGAACGGCAGCAGCTCCGGCGGCGGCCAGCAGGGGGCGCACAGCGCGGGGGGCGGGGCGGGGCCGGGGCGGGGCGGGGCCGGGCCGGGGTGGGGCGGGGCCTGGAGGGGATGGCGGGAAAATTCCTTTTCATCAATCCCACAAATGTATGGAGAAACTGACCTACCTTTCAAAGGGCTAATAACGAATGGCCCTGGCAATAGTACGTGATATTGATGTGCCCGACAATTCAGACGGTGTAGAGGAGGAAGCAGTCCCATTCACCCACCTGTTCAACAACGTTGTGGAGCGATTACGGTACAACTGACACGGTGCCTTCCGGTTCCTTTTTGGGCTCAGAATCCCCGCTTGGACCAGCAAAAGGAAGAAGCCTGGGGCACAAATGAAAACAACTGGAGAAAGGAAACTCACCAACAACCACTGGAAAATGCTAACCCCGCGAGGGGTGGGCGTTGGAATTGCCACGCGGAAGGTGGTTTAACACATTCCCTTACACCAGGCTGAACCCTGGCCTCCCACTGCCTGCATCCTAGGTGTGAAAATTGCATTTCACTCGACAATATCAAAACAATACTTTGGTTCGCTTGAGCTTGTAAAATCAGAGTCCTGGTGGCCTTGAGCCTATGTTTTGGCGATAGCAGCGGCTGGTGCTGGTGCTGGTGCTGGTGCTGGTGCTGGTCAGGCATGGCCCATTTAGCTAACAGGCCCTCTCCACGGCCCCGGCAGATCCCTGCCTCACCCCAAGCTTACCTGTCAGGCCCTACAGGTGTATGAATTTGCACCCCAGACTTCTGTTCTAATGCATCTAAATGAGGAGTTTGGGGCGAGCGTTTGTTTGTTTGAAATCTGCACCATGTTAGACGCTATTTCAAAAAGGAAGCTGATTTAGACATGGTACCTTACTGCGGGTACACGCGTATTCCCACAAGTCAGAGCACCTTCAGCTGCAGCCCTAGCACACCTCCTGAAGGGCCCTGAGGGTGGAGGGGGGGTGGGGGGAGAGAGGCTGGAGCAGAGGGCAGTGGGACTACAGAACGGAAAAAAAATAGACAAAATGCCTTGTCCTCATGCAGCTTACATTCTAGTGACGGGAGACGTACCATGGTCAAAACATGGGAGTGAATTATACAGTATGTTAGATGGTGAGTGTCATCGATATGTTACTAGTAGTTATAACAAGAACACATACAGTAGCAGTAAAAGACGGTAATTACCAGCGTGAAAACTCTGTGTGGACGATGCAAGGAATCAAATACTATGTTGACTGAAAAACTGAGTGGAACAAAAACTCTATCTGAATTGACATGCAGGCTACAGGATTATCCAGACGTGTCCCAGCTTCATTTAGAGGCTGTCACAACGCGAGAATGAACCGCGAGATTTCATAGCCCTACCTACAGGAGTCTCCCCCAAACTGGCAATGTCTGCGCCAGACGCCAGCTCCCAAGGTGCAGGGGCGCCTGCAGGGGGCGCCCAAGGACCGTGGCAGGGTCCCCAGGCAGGCCCCAGCCTGAGGCCACCTGGGTAAATATTTCAAAGTATCAACACAATGATTATTTTCTGATTTTTTTAAAATCTGTTTTTAAAATGTAGACTAAATATATTTTAAAACATGTAAAATCTCTGACTTAAGGGGAAACCAATTTCACTTGCTACAGGAACAGATCTTAAGGGGTTTAAATAAATCGCCAATCCCTGCCAGACGAATTTGTGTTTCAGCTGCGATCTGATCAGAGTGGAAGGTAACAGGCAATGGGGTGGGGGTGGGGCAGGACTAGGTGCTGCCCCCCTCCGCCCCCCACCCCCCACCCCCAGTGAGTGCCTCCTGGCTTTCCTGGCACCTCCCATTTCCTCCACCCCAGTCCCAGCCCCAGAGGGAGGGAGGGAAGTGTGGAGGGAACCTTTAATATCAAATAAAGATAGATGACCATGGTGTATTTAAAGAAATTGGAGGAAAGGGCAGAAAAGAAAAGAGAAGGTAGAGAAGGGCAAGAGATGAAGCTGGAGAGAACATGGTCCTCGACCCGCCTCCCACTGTGGCTGTGGGGAGAGGGGAGGAGCGGGTGGAGAGCAGGTTCCCAGGCCTGCAGGCCAAGGCCAGGTGTGAATGCCAGAGGGACAGGAGGGACTGTGCTCCATCTCACTCCACATCCAGCTCCTCACCTACAGCCAATTGTTGTCACGAGGCAACGGGGACCCAGGACCGATGGAAATTCCCCGTTTTCCTAGAGCCAGTCCTCTGGATCTTTTTAAGTCTTGTGATTTTGAAAGGACTCAAATTCATTTCCAAATAAATCCTAAACCTATGCATGACCACTAGACGGAGAGCACAGGCCACCCATCCATCTGTGACCTCCCTGGGCGCACAGCTTCTGGAACGTTCTTATAACCCACTGTCTCGTTCCTAAATAAAACAGGGGATCCCCTGGGTTTTCTTAAGCAAGCCTGTGCGAGTCAGGGACTTTCTAACTGCTGCGAATCAGGGACTGCGTGCCTGGAAGACGTTCTTCTTACGCTACTTATTCTGGTCTGTACTTGCCTTCTTCCTGTCTTGTTCCGGGGTCACCAGAGTTTCCTCTGCATCCCCTCAATATTTAATCCACCCTGGAACGCCTTGCCTGGCTATTGCTAACCTCTTCCACCTTTAAATTCTGCCCTTGTTTCATAGTTGACACTTTTCTAAGCTCCCACTCTATATGCCTGACCATCTCTGCCTGGTAGTTCTTTTGAGTCTTATTGTGCCAGGTAATGGAAACTGTGTCCGTGTGTATTTGATTCAACAGTTTTGTAAATTGTTTTATCATGGCCCTGTTTGAAATTCTTCCCTGTCTTTCTAGGGCACATGGGTATAATTTGAATTCCTTACCAAAGTCTAGCCCCCTCTCTGACCTGACTTTGTACCTCCTTTCCCCTCACTCACTGTGCTCCTTCTCTGGTGACACGGTTCCGTGGGTGCTGCCTGATTCCTTCTGCCCCAGGGCCTTTGCACTTCTCACTCTGCAGCCCTTGATGTCCTTTCTCCTGTTATTCATGTGGGTAAATTCTACTCATCCTCAACACTCATCCTGTATGTCTCTCCATCAAGAAAGCTTTCCCAAAATGTATGCACCACCCACAGACAGCAGCATCCTTGCAGCCCTTCCCAACACATTTATTTTTTAACTCTGTCTGCCCTGTGATACTGGAGCCCCAGGGAAACATGCCTGTTTCATCCTCTCTGCAATTGCAGCACCAATAGGAAGGGAGGTAGTGGCTTGACAAATATTAGCTAAGGAATGAATAAATACGTGAACGAGTGAGACTGTGTATTTAGGGATTAACACGATAATCCTATCTAATAAAAGAGAAACATGAATTGGCGTACGACCGCTACCCTTCCCATTGGCTAATCAGCGAGATATGCAAATTAACTGCCAGCCAAGATGGCGGCGGGCAGCCAGGCAGCTTGAAACTAACATGAGGCTTGCTTGCTTCAGTGATGGAGGAAACCAACGTTCCCCGCCTGCCTTGCCGGCCTCTGAGCCTGCAGTTTAAGAAACATTGTAACAAATATAGAAGCTAAACAAAACCCCAGAAACCTGCTTTTAGCAAGCCTGGGATCTCAGAGCTGGAGTTGATACAGAGTTTCGATTATAGAGCCTAAACAAACCAGATACCTGTTTTCAGCAGCTGAGGCCTCAGAGCTGGAGCCAGAGTAAAGCTGGCCCAGAATAAAAAAAAAAGAAAAAGAAAAAAAGGAGCAGTTGGGAGCTTCAGTCCCAGCCTGAAAACAGCCCTCAGCCCCTCACCCAGGTTGGCCAGGCACCCCAGTGGGGCCCCCCACCCTGAAGGGTGTGTGACCAGCTGCAAACAGCCATCATCCCCTCACTCAGGCTGGCCAGGCACCCCAGTGGGGACCCCCACCCTGATCCAGGACACCCTTCAGGGCAAACCAGCCAGCCCCCACCCATGCAACAGGCCTCTATTCTATATAGTGAAAGGGTAATATGCCTCCCAGCACCGAGATCATCAGAGCCGCGAGGCCTCCCGGCACCCAGCGCCCAAACCCCCTGATCGCCCTGGGGCTCTGTGTGTGACAGGGGGCGGGGCCACAACCTCTCTATCGGCCCTGCTCTGTTCCTGACAGGGGAAGGCGCCCCAACCCCCTGATCGGCCCTGCTCTGTGCCTGATACAGGGGAGCTCCCCAATCCCCTGAGCACCCTGCGGCTCTGTGTGTGACAGGGTGCGGCGCCCCAACCCCCACCCCCACCCCACAGGCCCTGCTCTGTGAGTGATGGGGTAGAGCCATAACCTCCCCATTGGCCCTGCCCTGAGTGTGACAGTGGCGGCACCCCAACCCCCTGATCCGCCCTGCTCTGTGTGTGACAGGGGGCGGTGCCCCAACTCCCCTATCGGCCCTACTCTGTGAGTGACGGGGGGGGGGGGGGGGAACTCCTCAACCCCCTGATGGGCCCTGCTCTGTGCGTGACAGGGGGGAGCTCCCCAACCCCCTATTCCACCCTGCTCTGCGTGTGACAGGGCACGGAGCCCTGCTCTGTGGGTGACAGGGGGTGGCGCCGCAACCTCCCCATCGACCCTGCCTTGAGTGTGACAGGGGGCGGTGCCCCAACCCCCCAATCGGCCCTACCCTGAGCATGACTGAGGGTGGCTGCACCTCAGCCTGACCAGGGGCTGCACCTAGGGATTGGGCCTGCCCTCTGCCACCCGGGAGCAGGCCTCAGCCAGCAGGTCGTTATCACCCGAGGGTTCCCAGACTGCGAGAGGGCACAGGCCGGGCTGAGGGACACCCCCCCAGTCCCGAGTGCACAAATTTTTGTGCACCGGGCCTCTAGTCTGTATATAATACAGTGTTGCTGGGGCTGGTGAATTCACTCAGTAACAATGTGCGAGTCCACAGGGTAGTGTTTCCATTCACTTTTTTTTTTCCCGGAGATCTGGCACTACACGCCTCACAAATTGTGATAAACGGTGGGCTCCTTGCGGGAATAGCCCCTCCTTCTTCCACCAGGTGGCGCTGTGACTCCAGACTGACCGTTTTCCTTTTCTCTGCCGCCCTGCAGGACCTGTCCGTGCTCTTGTCTACATTCTGTGAAGCAAGAGGGCACCACATCAGGGAAACCTCTCTCTCTTTGGACCAAAGCATCACCATCTTTTGCGAGTCTGAATTCTTACCATGTTTAAAGGCAGAGCATTGTCCAGAGCCTTCGATGTATGCATTGATTCTAGGCCTTTATAAAATAGGTCGTTAACTCACCTGTTTATTTCAAGGTACATGCTACAGCAATTTTGATATTGAGAATGAGTCAGAACGGTTGCAAGGAGCACTCGAATCATATCTTTGGATCAAAATACACATTTCGTAGCGTGACTCACTCAACAAGGATTTACTCAGAACCTCGGGTGCACCTGCATCAAGCCAGGCCGCCTCTCACACAGATGCCGCTCGGAAAAGGACCGAAGAAGTGCGTGTCTTATGTCCAAGGGTGTCCCCAAAAACTGTAGACACACTTGAACAGCGGATAGCCCAGTTTTGAAAATGAAATGCCTTTATTACTCCAAGTGTGTGTATACATGTTGGGGAGACACCCTGCATTTGTGCTCACCTGATATCCCTCCAAGCTTCTCTACTTGGAAATTTCCAGGTCGCGAGCATTAGTGACCCTTCCATTCTAGAAGTCAGAACTCAATTTCCTGGCATCACTTTAAGCTAGGGTGCAGACCTGCGGCTCTAGGTCCAGCCAATCAGATTCACCAGCGGGAGACTTTGAACTAAGGGCACAAAGAGGGAGGTGGCAGGTGCGGGGGAGAGGGGGGTTAGGGGGGAGGGGGTGGAGGGCAGTAGTGGGGGGACCCAGTCCTGTGCTGAAGGCAGCCTGGCAGAGGGAGCTTGAGTCCCTGAAGCAGCAGGAAGAGAGGTCCTCAGGGGAGACCCTGGCCTCAGTGACTCAGGTCCGGAGGTGCCGAGACCCCAGCAGTGAGCAGGCCTGCAAGGTCATTCGATGTCGCCCCTAGAGGTTTGCCTCTAGAGCAGATAACCCAACCCTCACTAAGGGCCTGTGCACATCCCAACCCCCTCACCAAATCCTGCTGCCGCTGCCCCTAGCTACAGGGAGTTAACGTTGTTTGACACAAAGAGCCCTAGAAAGATGTTATTTTTAGGGAAAAAAGTAAGTTATTTCTTTTAGAATAACTTTTTTTTTTTTTTTTTTTTTTTTTTTTTTTTTTTTTTAGAGAAAGTAATTCAGCCAAGACAACCAGGAAATTCTATCTGCAGAGGTGAAATTCTATCTGAACAAAAAAATCATCCTTACTACGTTGCCACCTCACACACCACTGCCACTATGGACGGAGCGTATTTTCAACGCTTTCTATTTTATAAGGTTACTCAAGTAACCTGGAGGCTGCATCGCAGTCAAATTGACACTGAGCTTAATGAAGACATGTAGGCTGACGATGTGTCAAAATCACAACGAAGCCACAACACCCCCAAAACAGCCCGACCCCCACCAGAGGGGAATCAGCCAGCAGGGGGGCCACGAGCGGATGGAAAGGACAGGCATCGGAAGAGAGAAGTGACCGCACCTCGACCGCTGCCGGCTCCTTGCAAAGCCTCAAGGGGCACCACGGCTCCTCTCTGGGGAGACGCCTGGTTTGTTTTTGGTGCTGAGCGAAGGATGAGGTCGAAGACGCACAGGAACCCTTGTCGGCCATCACTGCTGGTCCTGTGGGCCTTCTCTGAGCAGAACACGGCGCAGGCACCCAGGGCGAAGGGGGGTCAAAGGAGCAGCCCCGGCCTCGCTCTGTCGCCAGGAAGACGCGTGAAGCTCACGAGGTTTAGAAAGCGGCTTCATCAGATGAATAAACAGTCTTCGTGTTTCCCGACTGATTCTCCTCCTGGCCGCCCGTTCTGAAGAAACAGGTCTAAATCCAGAAATGAGCTATTTATACAGGAGTCATTCAAGCGGAGTTCATAGAGACGGGGCATTTGAACTACTGGAAGGGCTCAGAGGCCAGGCTCAGGGCCCAGAGGCTCCGTTACCACATGCCAGTCTGGAGGAGTGGTGACGTGAGGGAAGATGCTGAAAAACAGTAGGATGCAAAATCCCAGTGTCCATTTTGTTCTTAAAAAGCATCTCTGTACAGGGAGGGCAAAGGTAGGGTTGCAGTTGTTCATAAGGAAAATAATTATCAATAATACTGGTAATACAATAAACTCTGTTTCGTGTACTCATAACTGTAAACCTACTTTTGCCCACCCTGTAGAGAGAGATATACCTAGAAAAATACAGGAAGGAAATATAGAAAAATGTTAATATATAACAGTGATTTTATATCTAGGTGTCAGGAATTAAAGGTGAATTTTTACTTCCATCTTTATAGTTTTCTACGTTTTTTTAAAGTGAGCATGGATTACTGTTTTATTCATGTAGAAAGGAATATTAATGTTAACTTATATGCAGACATGCAAGATGTAATGATAAGTGATAAAGCAAGCTATGAAGTAGACACATTGTGATTTTAAATAGAATTTTAAAATCGACCCATAAGCTATATAGGAAGAACTATACAAAACTAATCATACTAGTTGTCACTGAGGGACAGGAAATGCAATTATTTTTTTCTTTTCTGTACTTCCTCACATTCCCTTTCATGACTAGGCATTACTTTACTAGTATCTGGGAAACTTCAAGACATGGCTATGCTACCACCCTTCTCAGTGAGGAGAAAGTTAGATAGCTCTCACATCCCACCAACTGCAGAAGCTCACCCGTCGGAAGCAAAGGGCGCAAATCTACATAGTTTCCCAGAATTACTGTCCTAAGACTCAGAGAAGAAACAAAAAGCTCCCTGAGGTATAGACAGTTAACTGCCATTTTTTTAAATTTCTGTAAATTTAATCTTTAATGTGATGACACGCATCTCATAAAACATGATTTCTCCGAGAAATCACATTGATTTACTTAATCTGCAAATATGGGTGTTGTAGAAATTACAACACCCACTTAACCTGTCACTAAATGTATGTACTTTTTAATTAAGGAACATATTCTATAGAGCGATGTAGAAATATGTATATAGAGATGATAGAGAGATAGATAGATAGATAGATAGATAGATAGTCTCTTGTTTGTAAAAAAAATTCAGACTCACTGAGTCTTGTTTGTTCCAATACCTGCTCAGAATGAAGGGTGCCTGTGGCAGATGCAAATCCTACACGGAACAAAGCTTCGCTCTCCCACGCACCGAAGTTTAGAGGGAGCTGCTTTTGTAGGTGTGCATGCAAGTGAAAGCACATCGTTCAAGTGTCTTGTTCATATACTTTTTAAGCTACCAAGGAAGACCAGAGAAGTACTACAGGACTAAGTTTGGGACAGAGTGTAGCTCAGGTAAATTCTGCGTTGGTGAAGATTGAAAAAAGAAGAAAGGTCGAGACTATAATAGAGGGTGTCCCCCAAAAATGTATACACACACTTTGAATAATGATAAAAGCGGTGGTCATGGAAATAGATTTCGTTTTCAAAATTGAGCTGTGAGCTTACAGTGCATATGCATTTTTGGGGGGACACCCTGTTTGAGCACCAGGTAAGGACCTCAGACTGAGGGAGGGGTGAGCCGGGCCCGTGGAGCCAGGTTGTGGAGGGCTTAGAAGCCACAGGAACCAATTTGTACTTCATTATTCAGACAAAAGGGGTAAGGTGACGGTTTGGAGGAAGAAAGTGACCTGGGCACAGGAAACCCTGGGACCCTGGGGAAGATCTTCACCAGCCCTGAGGAACCATTCATGACTCAGGTGCCTGGGCCAGGACCTCCTGGACCCGCCCTGCCCGGGGAAGCCTGCGGACAGCACAGGAGTCTGTGTCTCCTGTCGCAGGGTTATCTGAGCAGCTCTTATCACATCTTATCTGTCAGCACTTTCACTGTAGCTTATGTTGTGAGGGGTTCAAGTTAATGATTGAAATCCTGGGGCTCCATCTCTGAAGATCTTAATTCTAAAAGAGCCACCTTCTGCTGGAAATGCTACAAAGCAGTTCTATTTAAAATATAAGACAAGAAAACAATCAAATCCTTTGGCACCTTTTTAAAAAAATCTCTAATTCGTACCTAAAGGGACAGTGCTTCCTGTCCAAGTGTACCATACTGAAGACCACCCATGACTAAGTGATTGAGAGATGTGTTTTTGAATTTCAGAAGGGATTTCCTTTTCTGGTATGTACATAATATTCAATCACGTTTTTCTCTTTAAAACAATTCTAATGCTTGTCTCTGGGTGGTATGATTGCAGGTGGGTTTTGTTGGCTTATTTTAAGTTTTGTTGCATTTCCTGACTGCCAGGCCTGAGCTGTGACAGCTTCAGTTCTTTCTCTGAGTCCCAGGTAAGCCTTCCTCCAAAATCAGTGACTACTTGATGGGTATCCGATAATCCAAACGCCACCCACTGGCTGTCCTGAGGGTTACCCGGGCGGGGCAGGTCCAGGAAGTCCTGGCAGAGACACCTGAGTCATGAATGGTTAGTCAGGGCCGGTGCTGATCTTCCCCAGGGTCCCAGGGTTTACTGTGCCCAGGCCACTTTCTTCCTCCAAACCGTCACCTTACCCCTTTTGTCTCAAGGGCTCTTTAGACCAGAAGGGAGATGCCTACCTGCCCCCACACTGAGATAACATTGTTCTCCGGAGCAAAATAAACCAAGCCGTTTCAAAACTTCCATGCTGCCTAAAGCTAAGCAAGGATGCTTCGCTGAGATCACTTGAAAGAAAAACGCTTACTCATTGCAAACCCACCTCCATTTAGGTACTTGCTCTGACTTCGTCCCTAAGATTTGGAGTAGACGCCTGGGAGGAGAAGTCAGTGAGGTCGTTGGTACCCATCTGAGCGTACCATTTATTCTGAATGAGAACCAGTATGACTTTTGTAAACAAACTTGTGTCTTAAATTCAAATGCCTAAGAGACACCAACGGGTTTATGTTCACTCAGCTGTTTGAGAAGTAAAAATACCTAAGCAATTTGAGTCTTAAGAATTCGGAAGCAAGAAGGCGATTCCGGTATCCTGCCGGAGTGTGGTGATAGCCAGAGGAGAGGGGGTGCGGGGAGGAGGGGGTCCTAATATATGCTGACAGGAGAAGATTTGACTTTGGGTGGTGCGATATACAGATCTTGTAACGTAGAAGATTTTGTCCCGTAGAAATCCATACCTGAAACCTATATGTTCATGTTGACCAATATCACCCCAATAAGTGTAATGTAAATAAGTAAATAGATAAAATAAAAATCTATAATAATAAAAGGGTAATATGCTAATTAGATCAGACGTCCTTCCGGATGACCTTCCAGATGAAGTCAGGCTGCGAGGGAAGCCCAGGTCCCAGGTGCTGGCAGCCGGGGGAAGGAAGGCCTACTCTTGCACGAATTTCATGCATCAGGCCTTCAGTAAATAAATATAAACAAATGTCAGCTGGCATTTGAAGGACGCCAGCCTACTGCTGCTCTAGGTGGCAGTGCCTGCGGCCCAGTGGCTTCTGCTTTGGAACCCCTCCACGCCCCAGTTGGCCATCAGCCCCACTTTTGCAAGCCTCTGCCAAGTGCCAGGTAAATTCCCTTATTGTTGAGGGTAGCCAGGGCCAGTTTCTGTTGCTTACAACCAAAGATTCTAAATTGCCACCAAATCCAAAAGTTCAGTCTCCACCAGGCCTGGGCAGGGGCGTGCACATGGGAGCCCTGAGGCCGTCGGGACCTGCTTCATTTCTCCCTCTGCTCTCTGCTCAGCTGCAACCTTCTTCATCTCTGAACACCTCCTTCCTCCACGGCTTCAGATGTGTGTGTGTGTGGGGGGGACTTCTGACCAGGAGACCAGTTTATACTGAGTGATTTTTTTTCCCAAATCCCAAATCCATGCTTCAAAGTAAGACTCACGGGTCAATGTCGACCCTCCTGGCTAATCTATGGCCAGATCCATTGTCATGTTGTGCCACTGTGCCTGCCAAGGGTCAGGGAGCAAAGCCATTTCCAGACATGGGGACACAGGTGTGCTCTCCACAGGCTGGGCAAACACCGCCAAAGGAGTCTGCTTCATCCAAGATGCTACCGTTACCGTCATCATGATTTTTTTTCTTCTGAGACCTTCCTGGTCTCCAAAATGTAACCCAGATAGCTTCTCTGCCTTTTCACCTCTACCTCCAGATTTTCCCCATTTCCTTCCTAACCTTTAACATCATAATCAGTGCATATTGAGTCTGTTTCAGCTTTTCTAGAGCTTCCGTAGGTGACATGGTCCCCTTGAAGCATGTCTGCTGCCTCCAACATCTGGCTTTTCACACTCACTCACTTTTTTGTCTTTCATGGGCTTCTTTGAGCCATGACTCTGGCAAGCTCTGCATCGGCCCTGTGACCACTGCCTGGCGCCTGCCGCACCTCTCTGTGCTTCACAGCCGGCCAGTCAGCAGAGACCATAACGTTCATTGGTCAATAAAATAGTAGCGGGTAGTCGCTTTAGAAACTGGCTGTGTCCTTTGTGCCTTCATTGCAGTGTCCTAATTAAAATGTCTGGTTGTCAGTTTGTGACGAATTTCAGCGGTAGAGGGGTGGGGGGTGGGGGGGGGGTGGGAAGAGATTAACCAAAGAACTTACATGCATAACCGATGGACACAGACACTAGGTGGTGAAGGCCGGGGAGGGGCAGGAACCAGGTAGAGGGGGCATTGGGGGAGGAGGGGACATGTGTAATACTTCCAACAATAAGGATAAGTTTAACAAAACAAACATAAAAAATGGCCTGGTTCATTTTACCTGATCCGGGGGAGAAAAAGAATTGGTCTATTTATATCCCCGGGACTATATTCATGAAAGAATACTGTAGTTGGAGATAAAAGGGAGAATTGCTTGATACTAACAGAAGTCGTTCTCAAACATTTGAATTTCACATCCCAGTAAGTATTTAATAACATAGTATCATCAGAGAGTTACCGACTTTTTTTTTTTTTTTTTTTTTTTTGCCAAGGAAATATATGAAACTGAAGACTAACTCTAATATCAACAGCATAAAAGCAAAGACTCTTCCATTTAAAAAAAAAAAAAAAAAGGCAGCAACAGGATGAAGGAGCAATCCTCCCCAACAGAGCACTGCCCATAGCCTGGAGGCACCCTCCTAGAACACAGGACCCTGAAACAGACAGACGTCCCATCAATCCTTCCCCGCAAACCTGCGTTTGGAAGCCACTCCTGGCTCCCAGGTTCCCCTCCTACAGTGAAAACTTAACCGGGTGCCAAAGATGATGCCTCTTCATTGAAACTCTCCTTTCCTGACACCCAGGCTTTCTACAGAGGTGGGGGCCTCCTCTCTCATCCCAGTGTGGGGTCCTCCAGCGCCCTGAAGTTC